TAGAACGCATCCTCGTTCTCTTCTTCCTCTTCCACCCTCAGCGTTCTCCGAGGCCGCAAAACGCATGCACCAAATGAGGGCGGGAGTGCGCATGGAGAGCATTCAAACTAGAGAAAATTAAAAGCAAGACTGCACCCTTTGCCTGTGGAAACGGTGGTTCTGAATCTGCACTTGTCGCATTCATCAGCCGACCTTTCGCACCCCAAATGTGGAGAGCATGAAAGGGGTACTTGTTCCTTCGCTCCACTGCCATCAAAGCTGGGAGCCGAGTTTATCATGTTGACTTTCCAACTTGACGAGATTTGACAAGGGACAAACACCCCCACACCTAACTGGAAATGATCAGGGTGCCCCCTGGTTATCCATCGTCCATTTGCCAAGCCGGAGGGAGGATCCCTGCCTTTACTTTAACTAGGGGTTGGGGGGATGTAAAAGCAGTTGAGTGGCTTCTCTTCTTCTTGTTTCTCTTCATCATCAATCGCCTTTGTGGGAGGCGTCGGCCCATAGGCTCCTGAAAAGGCGGAGTTGCAGTTTAAAACCGTCTCTCACTTTCCGCCATGGCCTCGGGTGGCAATCTCCCCTGGCAGCTCCATGGCAGGAAGCTCGCTCACATCCACCAGGCCTTCGAGACCGAACCCTCGCTGGACCCCCCCCGTGGGCCACCTTTGCACGTGAGCTTGTGTTCAGGGTTCCTTGTGTGCCCTCTTTGCACACATACAACACGCGAGCAAGGCCCAAAACCCAGACCTTTGCTTTGCCTCTGCTCAACTTGCGCCCGGCTCAAGCTGTTTTGACAATTTGCTCTGGCATGGCCCACCAGGGCTATCGCAGCTCACAAGGGATAGCAACTACTCGGCTTTTTTGAGGGCAACTATTTTGTGACAAAGTGCATGATAGAATTGATTTTAACAAAACCCAGAGGATCGAACTAGCCCCTTCAGACATAGGGAGATTTGCTGGGGGAGGGAATTCAACCTAACCTTTCTGCTCGTGGGCGTTTGGGGGCGCCAACTTTGAAGGTGCCAGGGTAGTGTAAGCCTTGGAATGCTGAAATCACATCGGCCTGTAAGGTCCCGCTTCAAGGTGCTGCGATGCTGAGAAGCCCAGGTCTCCAGCTTCTGCTGGGCACGCTCCAACCTGGCAGGCATGTGTGGCATATGGGCATGCAAGTGTTTTTGACCCCCTGTAAAGTTGCATGGGCGTGTGGGCCCCTTCCGCGAAACCTTGAAGGGCACCTTCCGCGAGCATGGTTGCAAATTTGAATGCTAGGGAATTCGTGTTCGAGGGATGTCAGCCCGATGTCGGCCTTTGTCGGCCCGCCCCCGGAGCATATGTCGGCCCGTGCGGAAAATTATACGAGGAACACCCTTTCTTGTCGGCCCGCGTAAACAACGTATGAGAAGCGCCCGTTTTGACTTGTCGGCCTGTCGGCCTGCCCCCTGGAGACACTTTTTCACTCATAGAAAATGTCGGCGCGTTGTCGGCCCGCTTTCTGACGACCGCTGGTAAAAGGGAAGAAGGCCGCTCTTTACCCACCTTGCTTTTCTTAGCCAGTAAGTGGCAATAACTATACGTCTTCACACTTATCATACGTAGCTTCTATGTTGGCTCATAACTCCGATACCTAGTTTGATTCATCGAGTAGAAAGTGTTCGGATTGGACTTCCAAGTGATTCTCAAGGCGAGGACCTACATCGAATTTGCCAGTGTCCAAGCCCTCTTCCTCCTTATCCCTTCGCTTGTGCGGCTTGGGGAATTAAGCCCTTGTACTGCGTGAAGCCCAACTTCCGAAACAGACCATAGACCACCAAATAAGGGCAGGCTGACTCTCTTGCGGCCTGGATAAGCCAGGTGTGGTTTCTCTGGTTTGGATCCCTCTCACATTCACCCACCAGGCTGTTGATATTGGATTCTCATTGCAAACGTGGAGCCCCAAAAGCAACAGTACTGAACCCTCTGGTCGGGAGGGTACACTCCTGCCAACCTGCAAAAACATCCTTGGAAATCAAAGGGGCTCCCTTGGAAAAAAACAAGAAGATCTGCACAGCTGCAGCCCGTGCCTGTCCAGCGGATCTGGCGCCGAAGCTGTGATGGCCTCAGGCCCCGACAGTTGGAAGCTGAGGCTGGCTGAACAATGATGTTGAGGGGAACTGATGTGATTTTAGCTCTCTGTTCAACATGGGTGTGCGCGGGGAGCTGACGCCTTCCACCACCTAACAAGGCTCACAGGCTCGCTGTCCAAGAGGACAGTAATCTTCCATGCTCTTCAGCACTGGATCATCAACCCCTGCTTCTTGGTGCGGTGTAGGCGGATTGGCAGCGAAAAGGGCAACTCGCTGCGTGTGCAATGCCAACAATGCAATCCGAGGCACGTGGGGCGGACTCCCGTAAAGCATCTCGGGCTTGTTCATTGGGCTGACGGGATGGACGGCGGGCGGCCGCCCTACTAAAGAATTATCAGCCTCAGGCGCGGCGTGGAGGAGAAAGAGAAGGTGAACCAAATTAGCAGTTTTCGGAACCGCTTTATTGCAGACCTTTGGGGGACACCGTGCAAACAATGATAATTAGGCTGTAGCAGGGCCTTGTGTGTTTGTTCTTTGTGGTGTTTCAGCGGGCTTAAGCGTCCCAAGTTTGAGGGCTGTCCTTCATCAGATTCATCTCCAGGATCTCCAACAACGGCCTAGCAATTTGGATGAAGGCTGCTATGGTCATTGCCGTCCAATTCAACATAGCAAATTTAGTCAAGCAAATACACACCGTACCCGCAATGCCATCATGAGCATTCATTCCGTGCATGTCACGTCACCTCGCTTGGTGTCATCTCATTTCATGTCATCTCACCTCATCCATTTCATACATCTTATCATTTTCACCCGCCCAGCCGTCCCTCCACCCATCTCAAATAATAAGTTGATGAGAAATCAGCTCTCTAGATGGTATGCAAGTCCACCAACGGGGGAAGGACTTGAGAGGCCCTCCAGGATCATGATTTGTTGCAGCCCCCCGCAAACATACGAAATCAAATGGAGAACCCACAAGTAATACCAAAGCAAACGGAAAACCCGATCAAACAATATTGAACCAACAACACATGCCATTCAAACAGTGCCACATCAATGGAAACACAAACCAAGCGATACTAAATCACATGCAGAACTCAAACCCCTGCTCACCCAATTGGAAACCCTAACCCAGCAGTACGACGCGGGGCCAAACGCCAACTCACATCCAGCAACAAGAAGTCAAATGGGAAACAGAAATCTATTGAATCCAAACTACCAACCAAATGGAAACTCAAAATCGGCCCAGCAGGGCCAGTCATCTGATGGAGAAGTCTTCATAGAGGCCTGCAGGGCGAGGACGAATCCTGCCAAGTTGGCCGCCATTGTACGAGGGACGTGTCAGCTGGTTCCAGTATGAGCACATCTCGCATCAACGGAGGCCTCTCCTCAAGAGCCTCGCGATGCCTCCGACGTTATGGTTCAATGACAGCGCTCCCATTCAATGACAACCAGGTTGCCAGCAAGCAAAGTCGATGAAGGCTGCCAGCTTCACTGCGTTCTTCATCACAGCCGGTGGGACGCTGTTGCTTCCTCAATTCCTCATCGAGATTGTTGGTCCGCGCTTCGAGATTCTTCTGAACATCTTGGAGAGCTTCTCCCCTCGACGGGATCTGCGGATTTGATCCTTTAGTTCACCCGAAGGCGCCGCGAGCGATCCCTCGAAAATAACCGAAGACCTTTGTCCATCAGACATGATTTTTCCTAAGCGCGGGTGCTCCAAAAAATTGCTGGCTCGTTTCGAACGATGATTCCAGCATACCACTCAGAGCTACCATCAGTGGTCTCACAGCTCGTGAATACGCCTTACGGCTGAGAACTTGGCAATCATGTCTCTTGCACCGGCGAACGGCGGTACATGGTAGGCAAGGCTTGAGCCAACTAGCCCCAGGCGTCGACATGTTCATGCTATACCCCCCCATGACCTCAACAACCAGGCCCTCGATTGACAGACCTTCCTTTTGCGGACACCACTAGCCTACACAAGGTGATGGAGTTCATGGGAAGCAACAGCGACATACCAAGAGTCGCCCCCTGGTGATTCCCTTTAAACCAAGGCGGTTGCAAAAACACAGTTACCCATCACAAAGGGCAGAAGAAGGCAACCGCCCAACAAAATCCCCCGACTCCAAAAAAAGGCCACAACCGCGCAAGCGGCCCGCCTGCATGTAGGCATTGCCCACCTGCTGCAGCGCTGCCAGCTGCTCCCGCAGCTCAAAGTTCTCGGCCTCCACTGATCGTGCCGTCGCGTCACCTCGGGAAATTCGAGCTGATTCAACTGTTGGAGGGAAGGGGTCGGCAGGTTGGGCACTTGGGGTTTGGGGTTTAGGGCGGGTTTGGGGTTGAGCCGCTATTGCTCAAAGACTCTGTGTGCTCGCACCACCCCGCAGCCTCGCAGAACTTCGTGGAACCTTGATGGAACCCTGTGGAACCCTGGTGAAAACCCTCGTGGAACCTTACCACAGGGCCGCCCCGGACCACCCCGGAGGCTTCCTGGGCTGAGACCCCAAAGCTTTCAGCTGTTAGGGAAAATCAGGGGAACTGCCAACCCCTAGCTGAAGCATATGTAAACGGGAACCAAGCTCTAACCCAACGAGCAGAAAGCCCAGCGACAAAGGGAAGGGGCGTGGGTGCGTGGGTGCTTGCAGGCGGGCGCGTAGTTGGGCCGGCGGGTGGGCGAGAGTGTGTGTGTGTGTCACCCACCTTGTTCACGGAAGTGCCAGAGAAAAAAGGCCTCTGCAACGCCTGTTGACAGGTCAAGGGTCAAAGGGTTCAAGCAGGGGGCAGCCGGACAAGCACGTGGGCGCCAACGAAGACCTCAAATTCTTCTCGTGAAACGCACCTGCTTGGGAACTGCTCCCGGGTCCCGTCGTGGGCAGCTGGAGAGCTCGCCCTCAAGCAAACAAGGTCCACTGGGCTTGTGAAATCCTGGCTCTGCGCGTTTCAGCGCTGACTTGCATTGAGACTCATTGAACATCCTGCTTAGGTTTGTGTTTGAACTTGTGTCGTGCTTCTGTTGGTGCTTGAGACTGAGTTTGTGTGGGTGTGTAATTGGTTTTGTGTTTGTGTTTAAGTTTGAGTTTGTGCTTACGTTTTGGGTTGTGTTTGTGTTTGTGCTTTAGTGGTGGGCCCTTGCTTTTTCGGTTGCAGGCCCCCCCTTCCTGCGGAAATGCTGGCAGCAGACGTGAAGAAGGTTCTGCGTAACAGAAAAGGAAAAGCAGCACCGGTCAAAGCCGGACCACAAAGCAACCTCGTGCGTCACAAGCCACCTTGAGGGTTGTGTTTGTGTTTGTGCGAGTGATTGAGTGTGTGTTTGTGCTTCAAAGATTGAGTTTAAGTTTGTGTTTGTGGTTGTGTTTGCGTTTGTATTTCAGTGTTTGAGTTTAAGTGTGAGTGTGTTGCAGTTTCAGCTCCCGCTTCAGTTTGTGTTTGTGATTAAATGTGTGTTGTGTATGCGTTTGTTGTTGTGGTTGTGATTGTCATTGTGCTTGAGTCTGTGAGTTTGTTTGAGTGTGTGGGTGTGATTGTTTTTGTGAGTGTGTGTGTGTGCGTGGTTGTGTTTGTCATTAAGCTTGTGTGTGTGTGTGTGTTTGAGCTGGTGTTTGTGATTGTGTTTGTGCGTGTTTTCGTGAATGTGCTTGTGGTTGTGTTTGTGATTGTGTTTCTGGTGTTGTCTGTGTCTCTGTTTGTGATTGAGTTTGTGGCTGTGTGTGTGTGTGTTTGTGCTTGTCTTTGTGGTCGTGTTTGTGGGTAGTTATGCTTGAGTTTGTGATTGTAATTGTGTTCGTGTTTGTGTTTGAGATTGAGCTTGTGTGTGCGGTTGTGTTTGTGTCTGAGTTTTCGCGTTTGAGTTTGTGTGTGTTTGTGTTGTTTGTGTCTGTGTTTCTCATTGAGCTTGAGTTTAAGATTGTGTTTCAGTTTGTGAGTGCGCTTGAGTTTGTATGTTTGTGCTTGTGGTTGGGTGTGTCTTGGAATTGGCGATTGTGCTTGCATGTGTGCTTGTGCTTGAGTTTGTATTTGTGAGTTTGCTTGTCTGTGGTTGTGTTTTTTTGTGTTTGTTTTTATATACAAACATGTTGTCATTTGAGTTAGTAACAGTAGTGGTTGCATATGCCCTTTGAAGGATCAGGGACCCTGCAAACCACCCCAAAAAGACTCACCAAGCGTTGAGACCAACCCCTTGGTTGACCTTACTTGACTTTTTTGACTACGTTTCCTCCTCCGGCGGTCTCTAGAGGTTGACAAGGCCCAAGGTCCCTGAAAGCGAGCTGAAACTGAAGGCATGAAAACCACTGATACACCGAACCGCGGACAGTTGCAAAATCCACGCCGGGCACCCAGGCACCCGTTGAGATGAATGAAACCCGATTCTTGGGATAAACCACCTACCCACTGGTGCAGGACTTTGTCCATCCACAGTATGAATCTAGCAAACGGCTTGGACGTGCTTTTCCTGGATTCCACCATGTTCTTCTCCGTGTCGGAATCGTCTAGAATACAGGGGCATGCCCCTGGCTTTTGTCGGGAATTCAGCGGGCCCTCAGTTGTGCGCATGCAGAGTTGGGACCCATTGTCAGGTGCTTTTTGAGGGAAATCAAAGGGACAAACGCAGTTGCTAGCTTAAGCCACGCCAGAACGGCCAGAAGGCGGTGCACAAGGGTATAGAGTATACATCTCCCCAAGAGCGAGATTTGAGGGCTCCCTCAATGATCGGGCGCCCCCGCCCTCTTTTGGGCCAGCGTGCTAAGGGAAACAGTCGCAATGCAAAGGCCAAACGGAAAACCGAAACTGATTTGACCCCCCCCCCGGCAAAACGACAAGCTGAGACTGCCGCGCTCCACGTACTTGTCCTGCGTGAACCGCATGTGTCATTTCGTGCGTGCAGAATTGTGGGGGGCACTTCAAACCCAAATGTAGCCATGATCATACCCACAAACAATGATATAATAGTATAGTAAGTTCAATGTATTAAATGGAATTTTATTCAAAGCCAGCGTTCCCTTCGGGATGATCAGAAACGACCCAAGGCGCCTTTCTCACTTTCCTCCATGCGCAAAAGGTGACCAAAGCTGTTACCCTATGAATGATCTAAGTGGTGGTTTAAAGGGATACCACCGCCAACAATAACTTTGAGAAGCCCTCCAAATGCAACTAGTTGACTGGATGCAAACAAAAACAACCGTGGTTTTTGCGGCACATCCCACCCATTTGCGCCTTGTAGAGCTTTATCTGCGTGTTGAGGATCCTCATGCTCTTCATGTCTTTCTCCTTCGTATCCCTTGTCTTCAATGTGTCCAGCTGGGTCAGGAGGCTTTCGTTCTCCTTCCACAAGCGCTCTCCGACACTCAGACCCGAAGCCGGATGAACGCACCACATACACGCCAATGCCACGAAAAGATCAGTGCGAATGTGCAAACAGCTGGGTTTGCCCAAATGTTCGACGGCTCGCAAATATTTACATACTTGAACGGCAGAATGGAAAAGCATGCCCGCACGGCGGGCGGTTTCGCCGAACATGTGTTCAAATCCGAGAATTTCTGTGCGATTTCATGGTAGACCAGATGGAGCTTTGGTGCACACAGGTGCGGCATCTGTGGAAACTGGGCAACCAAGTCAGTGCTCGGTCCTTGCCGTGGACAGACAAATGGGTGTGCCAGTGTCTCTCTTTTGAAGCTACCTCTTTGAAGCTACCCTCTTTGCAGGATTTTGCCAAGGGACACGGAAACCCGCCCCGTTTCGGGTGAGTGGTCCCACCCATTTTGGGGAAGTTCCCACCTGTAGCTGTTTGTGTTTTTTTTGGGGGGCTCGTACCGATTTTGTGTACGTGCCCAACCCATCACCCAGTTGCGTTGCAACCTATTCAGAGACAACCCGTCACGGGTTCCAGCCAACTCAGCACTATTTTTGGTGGAATCAAGGCCATGATTCGTAAAAACAAACCCACTTGCCCAAAGTCTCGACTCCGAAAGGGCTAATACAGGCACCAAACACGTCAACAGGTCGTCGAGTGTCATGCTTTGAGGGTACCCTTTGTTGGGCTTAAAGGGAACATGTTGTTCTCAATTTTGGGGCCCCAATCAAATTGAAGACAAAGCTAGTCGATGAGCGCGTCCTTTTGATACCTCCGGCAGGCAGCATCCCTGTGGGCAAGCAAGCGAATGGCCGTGGCATAGTGGAGCTGAAGCCTCGGAGCTCCAAACTCACGAATTCCATCGGCCTCCCCATTTGAACGCTTGGACTCGTGTCTTTCTGTCCTTTGAACACCCAAATGGGCTCCATTTTGGAGAAACTCCCGGTGGATGGACAAGAAATCCGGGAGATCGGCCGTTCCCAATATCCATTGGGCTTCCATTGAAGGCTCGGTAAGTACCCTTTTGAGGTTGGTTGAAGCGGAAACCAAAGGAAACGTCCATCTTTGAGGTGTCTACTTTGACATTTCCAAAACAGACATGGAACAGCAGGAAAGCGTCCATTCCAAGGGAGCCCTTTCAGGTTCCACGTTTGCCTTTTTGGAGGGAAGCGTTGATTCTGACTCTGCGGATCGCAAAGTCCAGACCCCACCGGGGATCCCAAAAAAGTAGGTGTAGCTTTCCTTTCAAAAAGTTTTTACTTGTGCCACGCTCACCATTCCAACCACTCTGTTCAACCCTAGCCCTTTCCAAAGCCAGCCGTTCTCCAAGGGGTTTCAAAGATAAGGGGTTAACAAGGCCCCCTCCCCCCCCACTCCCACGAAAAGTTGGAAGGAACCGTCTTAGTCTTGGCCAGTGTTCTTACAAACGAGGAGGAACCAAATGGTCGAGCAAGGCCTGAACGACCAGGAGCCCTTCATATGTTAATCCGTTAGAGCACCGGCAAAGCCAACCCACACACAGAGCTTTGGAAACCATAAGTGACTCACGTGAATGTAAATGCATATGTACATGACCAATTTTATTCAGACGCATGAATGCGTGTGGTATGTGTGCATGCTAAGCACCTGGTGGTGCAACCGCAACTCTCTGTTTTGATTGAACAAACGACTCCGCCTGGTCCGCTCCATTCTGAGTGCGCTACACAGGGGACGTCTATTTCACTCTCCACCAAAAGCATCAAGCAGCATTGCTGGCAATATGAGGCGCGGCTTCTTGACAAGCTCCCTGTCAATAATGTGTTGGTGCTGCTTTGGCCGCTTGCAGCCAACAGACTACTGCCCCTGAAACCCAAACACCCGGGCCCACCCTAAACCTCTATTGCGCTAAGCGCTTAAAGCCGGAAGCCCAGACCCTTCAATCTCATGAGGCAACCCTAGAGCCAACATATACATTAACAGCCGACCTCGCACTTTAACAATGTGTTGGCAGACCCTTTGAAGACGCTGTCTATGCAACCCACAAAGAGCACGATGCTGCATTCACGAAATGGCAGTCACACTACAGCACTATCAAGAATCATGTTGGAATATGGCGTGACACCTTCGACAGTTCATTTTTGGAGGAGACCCCAGCTTTGTGGAAGGCTACATCCAAAAAGTTGAGCTGGCAGGTGGCTGCATGTACACCTCCTCCATCTGGTTTCCCAGCAACGACTCGATGGACTCCAAATTGCCTCGGCACTAGGCTGCCTTCTGCAAGAATTGTGCGTAACAAAAAGGCAAGCACCCAGTGCTCAACAGGGAAATCAACCACTCCTGGGTTTGAGTCGAGCTTGGACTTGCTAAACAAAATTGGAACCCATTGTTCGGCCGGTCTTTGGAATGAAGTTGGGTGAAAGATGCCAGCGATCTCACTTTGGCTTCATCCCGAGCTGACGAAAAGGGAATTACGCCGTCGACTGGCTCCCTGGTAGAATCCAGTTGAACATGCTCTATTTTGTTCTGTCAACAATGAATACAGTGAAGATACAAATGTTACCATAAGTCCATCAGGGCAAGAAACGCGAATGTATAGGAAGCTTCCTGCCACGGACCCAGTTGCGTGCAAAGGAGATGCAGAGGACGCAGCACCAAAGTGGCGTATACAATCTTCGGGCTTGGGCGTCTGGAAATCCGAGGAACTAGTTCCCACCACTTTGTTTGTAGAATCCCCCTTGCCTTAATGGGAGGGTGGAGAGTTGAGATCCCAGTGGGTGTACTGTCAGGATGTAATGTTCACGCGGCTCTCTCCCAACTTGGCCCGGGACCGATGTCCACGTTTTCTGTGGGCATATCCAGCTTTTCCAGATGGCGGTTCAGCTTTCCTCAGCCGTGGAAAGCACTCAGTCGCTTCTTTGGCAATCGCAACATTCGCCAGGCGCTAATTCAAAGCAAGCAAAACAAACAATTACTCGGAAGATTTGGGCCTGAGTTTGCCAAACAGCGGGATGTTCCCGAGTTTCTCTTGTTACCTCAGCGAGCGCCTGTGCATCACGGTTCACAACCCCTGGCATCATTGGCTTGCAACTGTAAGAACGCTGAGCATGCAACAGCCCGATCCAACGCGTTTAGCCCCAAATGCGCGTGGCGCATGCGCACTTGATGCGGCTTGCGAGTGCAACCCGCAGGTCCGAGAAATATGTGCTTTAACTAGGTGGCTTGCGGACAGCATTTCACATGTGGATTGAGCTCCACTAAACATGTTTGACGGGGTCCAAACTGAAAGTCATAGCCATTTGTGCCCACTGTTCAATTGTCACACCTGCACGGATTGCTTCTTGCAACCGTTCTCAAATCATGCCAACCCCGGATTTACCAACCTTGAGGGACACCCCTCCAAAAAAAGCAGCCAGGGGTGTACTGATTCTGGCATAGATTCAACCCAATTGAACCCCTCTATGAATCCCACCACATAGGTTTTGACATTGAGCCCTTGATGCCGCGGCTCTGTCCATGAGCGTCTTGGCCTTGGAAGTCATCTTTTCAAGCTTGTCAAAGCGACTCACTCCACAGAGAGCCCGCATCGACCCCCCTGGTTGCACATGACCTTCCGTTCCACCAAGGGCGGTGAAAAATACAAGCTGATGGCCTGTTGGCAGCTTTCTTCTTGGGAGCCGTGTCGCACGTTGGCATTCCCATCCCTTCAAAGCCAATGCAAAGGATGCTCGCCCAAGAAAGACACACCCATATCTTCTGCCGCGTTGAAATTCCTCAGCGAGACCAATCTGCCTTGACGCCAAAAGGCGGAGGGTTTGCACTTTTCACTCGCGAGGCATCGAGAACCAAAGCCGTAAAGCACATGCAAGTCTTAGTCTTAGAAGGCTGCGATCCCTTTGCGGGAACTGGCCGCCCTCGATACCCAACAAGTTCAAAATCCAAGCCCCAACCGGCAAAACTGCGACCTTCACCCCTTCATTATATTTGCCCCCTAGTAACCCGACACTCCAAGAAGACCTGCGGCAAGGAACCGTCCTTGCCACTGACTGGTGGGAATGGAATGGGTCGAGGAGGGTTGAAACATCCCCTTTGCTTCTCAGCCCGGCGTACATCGATCTCCACCCTGCAACGCTTGGCACCAGGAAAACACCCAAATCCGTTGGCCAGGGCGCATCGACCTTGTTCCTGCAGGGAACGAGCAAGGGCTCGCCAACGCAAAGCCTATAGTTGCCAAGGGCCCTGAAGTTTAAAGAGGGCCACTCTTTGCCTGACACCGCAGCATGTCTCGATGCAAAGGTGTTTAGCACTTGGTTTCAAGCGATATTGTTCCGGAGAGAAAGTCTAGAGCACCAACACTTTCAGGCCAATGCTCCGCAATAAATGTCAACCCGCTCCTCTTGTCAGCCATGGTGGCGCAAAGTTGCCGTGCTGATACGCTGGCTTATGAATGTGCCAATGCTGGAGCAGAAATCCCCAGATCGCTGCTGGAAGCGTGGGCTGTTCGGTACTAGTGGCTGCCAAGGATGCAAACAATCGGGTGAAAGCTGAGCCGAAAGATATCCGGTGGCAAGAACGGCAGCTCTCTATGAGCATCAGTTTGGGTAGTCATAGAAGTTTGTGTGAACTTTAGATTCGGGATTTGGTGGGCGGCATTTACATGGGGACCTTCTTGAAGGCTGACAATCAAATCGCCCTCTGAGAGTCCTCATTCTGGGATGCCTCCAGGCCCGGAGGCTCAAGGATGCTCCAGCACCTGCAAAGAGAAGCCTTTGTGGCCCTCAAAATTGGAATCCTTCAGGTATCTTCAGGTTGCAACTAGGGAAAATGGGACATGGAGCCAACACTCGAACCAACCCCTGGTCCCCACCTTCGACGGACCTGCCGTGTAGCAGCAGCCTGGCCTTGGTCGCGCCGACAATTCCAACTTCAGAATGCCAACCCATCGGCCAGGGCCTCTGCCTGCAACACACCAGCAACACCATTTGCCCAAAGGGAATCCAAACGAAAAACCTCGGCAAACCACAATTGTGGGGTCTGCCTATTCATGGCACGCACCCATATCCAAGGGCCTCAGCGGCAAACAATGACAGGGAAGCAAGCGAAGCAGCATAACAGGAAGTTGCAAAATGACCGAATCTACAGGTTGCCAGAAAGCAATTGTTGAAAGAACCATGTCAAATTTCCGTCAGTGAATCAGGGTGGCAGTTGAGACACATTGTGAAAGCAATCCTTGCAAACATAGTTTTAAACTGATTTGTGTTTCACAGTGCTACTTTAACACTGAATGAAGTATGCTTGTTGATGTAGCCTGGCCCTGTGTCAAATTGACTAGCCAGCGTAGCGAACATGTGTGGAGGAACAAAAGACAAGACATCATTTTCTCGAAGTACCCCTTGATTGTCCAGTCCTTCACCACCTCAGCCTCACCCCCATAACCCTGTGCCGAGCCCTACCGCACCGCCGAGAAAAAGAAAAGCCGCTGACAACCAACCAGGGCAAAAGCAGTTCACACCAGCAGGAAAGCGTTTGGACATCAAGACATGAAACAACAACGACGAAAACACAAGAAGACCCAGCGGCAGCAAGCCAGAAAAACCATCAATAACAATCACGTGTTAGTTCATATGATATGTATATTTTATATGCATGTATATACATATGTATATATATGTATATATGTATATGTATGTACGTGTTTGTGATGGAAGCTAGGACCCAGTCAAGCCTCCCCCCACCAGGCACACAATTTTGTCTTAACACATTAGTCTGCGCCAGCGGCGGCGAGCGCGATGAGTGCTCAGGCACGCCTGGAAGATCGCATGGCAGCTGCGGTGGCTCATTCACCTGACTTCCTTTTTACCCAAACCGTGTGCCCCCATTGCAAGCCATGCAGACCCAGTCATATGGTCTTCAGTACGTCTTCCCATAGTGCGTGTCTTTCAGCTGCCACGCAGCCCAGCTGCATTCCGGCATTCCGATGCCTACTGATTGAAACCTGAAAAATTGCAGCTTGCCACGGTGGATGCCCTCAGGGTTGCAAGTTAAGGAACAACTAAACCTCTAATTTACGATAATTGGCTCACGGTTTTGTGGCTGAGGGTGGATGGTTTCCTTGGGGCATCCACCGTAGGGTGGGCTAAATGCCCCGGGGCTTAAAAACGGGAAAAGCATCGGCGCGCTGCCTTAAATCACCTCCTCCTGAGTGGTCTCGTCCAGCAAAGGATCGTCATCGTACCTGGCCAGGCCAAGAGCCTTACTTCATCTGCAAAACGCCTCTGTGTTCGACCAACTCCCCGAACGACTCGAATCGGCTCAAGGCCTTGTTGGAGCCAAACAAATGCAAACACGAAAGTGTCCGACAAGCTTGCATCATCTTGCATCTTGCCGGGCCAGAGGCACCATCTCTGTGGCCACGGCTGGCCCATACTGTACAGTGCTTAGACCCATTCTCATCCAAGTTCCGTTGCCACATGCCCCAGGATATTAGTCTTCAAGGAACAGCATTTTGCTTTGGACACTGAGCCAGGTGAGACCGATATAAATGCATCGGGGTGCAGGTGATACACGTCAATCGCATCCCCCAAGTGCTTCTTGTAATCCACATTCCTTGGCCAGGATAATTGGCTTCAAGCCATGCGAGTCAACATGACGTGCTTGCTCAATTGTCACTGCCAAGCCGCAGGAGTACTGTACAGCGACACCGCGCAGGCTAGTCCAATGCTGACGTACTCATGTGTCTGTTTTCGAGTTCACAAAGAGTTGCTCTGAGGCGATCCGAAAATCGCAAAGCTGCACAAAGCATCCGGTTTGGAGATTGTGGGCCTAAGCCAAGCTCCCGAAGCACCAATGCTGAGTGAGGGGAGGGGCTGCTCTTGGCCCGAGAACCGACATCACTGCAGATACTGATGGACTCCACCAGCCGGGATGGCTGACACCCTATGAATACGCACCAACTTGTGCAGGATTGTGCACTGCATTCTACGGTTCCCTTGGCATCGCAAACCATCACTACCCTTGACTCAAGCACGCTGGCAGCGCAACAGGAACGCTACTGTCAGCTGAACAGACGCTTTTAACAAACACCCTTTTCCGTTGCCTCCGCGCCGTTCATTGTCCTGGCCCTGTCCCTGGTCGCTCTCGGAGCACTGCGCGCTGCGGTTGCTTGGGCAAGTGGCCCTGCTGAAAAAGAAGGGCTTCCATCCGAATGTGATGGAACAACTTGCACGCCACTCCTTGTGCCTATCCTGAGTAACGATGAGCAAAGATGAAGGACTGCGAATCATGTTTGTTTGGCTGCTGGCAGGGACCATGCAGCACGAGTAACGTCAAATCATTACACATAACGAACTATACATATATATATATATATATACATACACAATGTACACATGCACTCGACAATGGTATCTAAATAGGTCTGATCAAGCAAGAATGGACAGGACTCATTGGACATAAACATGTATGAATCAGCGTGAAATAGTGAAGCTACAAATGCATACAGGTACATGTATGCAAAAAGTCAAACAAGCAATACACCACGTCGGCTCAGGACAGAATGTGAATGAATACCTATTGATGAACATTCCGAACCGTATGAAATTATATCACTGTGCAAAACAAATAACCACACAGAAACAAACATCATAATATGACACACTGTGAACAAGTAAGAGTCAGCGCAAACAACTATGCAGTACAACATGAGCTAACATACACAAAACTGCCATATTGTAGTTCGACATGACAAACATAGGCATAAATAGGTTAGTCCAACATAGAATGTGAAAGCCAATTTGAATGGTTTCATTTGCAATTCACGCGGAGAACATGGGTGATGCAGCATTGGCAACTATTGGCCACTATGAAAAGCAAACGAAAAACAATGGATCAGCTTGACGTGAACGATTCTGAGCGAACGTGGGCAACCACACTCAAATAAGAATGGGCATGAAGCAGTTGCCATGCTTCATAACAATAAGCAACTTCAAAGGCATATATGGACAACCAACTCTGAAACTCTGCGTGGGAACGTGCACAAATGCATGTCCAAGCCGGGTGTGCTTTCCACTTGCGCCGTGCCCTTGATTGCCGCCGAGGCTCAGCCTCCGGAGGATCCCGTCGCCGGGGGAGAAGACCATGGCGTGGATCCGCGGCAGGGCACCTCGGCCAAGTTTCACACGCATCCGCGGGAATTCCAGGGGGCTACGTTGCCAGTGAACATGTGAACCCAAAAAAACGGCATGTGTTGTGAAAATACCCCCTGTGATACCAAGGGCCATCCCCACTTCTGAGTCACTACTGCTTCATCACCTTGAAGAGGGGTTGGTTCGACAAAAGCTGGGCCTAAGAAAAACATCTCTCCACAACAACGACCGCGGGAAGGCCGCACAGCTTCCTAGGCAGCCATCACTCAACCGCTTGCGCTTTGGAAAACATGTCATTGATGTAGAGCCCCCTGCCAACGAAACTCAAACCAAACCTGGCATGTCTTCCCAAACCTTCGAGAAAAGCGTGACATTGCAACAGGCTCACCCAAAAAAAAAAACGAAAGTAGTGCCAACCAATAGGTGTCTCCCTCCTTGCTGTGAACAAAATCCATGGCAGGCACCAGTTGGGATTGGTGGCTTATCCCAGAACTTCGTCCGTCTTAATTGGTGCCTGAACTTCGTGGATTGCGCAACCGTCCATAGTCATGCTGGGCAGTTATGAGTAAAGTACACCATCCCCAAGCAAACAGGTTGGGAGGATCAATGCTAAACACCCTGTAAATCGAAAGGGGGGGCAGAATCGGTCCTCTCTTGGGTCCTCTGTGGTCCTCTGTGCTTGGCAGTGGTTTAGAACTGGTTTAGTACTCCTTGGAGCTGGCCCGGTATTGAAGTATTGCTCAGAATTGGCTTGGTATTGGTTCAGTATTCCTTTGTCGCTTTTTCCCACCCTTAAGCACTATATCAGTACTCCCTTTCTGGGGGCGCCTGTGCCACCACTTGAGAATATGTCTGGGGAGCTGCTTCAGCAAAAGGTGTCAAACATAATTTGGCGGTTTGAGGCCTCAGTGGGTTTTGCCGGCTTTAGGGTTAGTTTGCATTTGTTCAGTACTAGTTTGCTACTGGTTTAGTATTGCTGGGCTGGGGATCACGCTTGCTCCCACCCTCGGACAGGCGAAAAAACAACTATATTCCTAGCCTTTCTTGTTTCAGAAAAGTGAATGGTTTTGGGAAGGCTTTTCGTACTTCGTACCGATTGATTCATCACCATCCAACATTAGGGTAGTTGTCTTCCAGAATGGACACCCCTTGGCTTCTCTTGCACTTTCTGGGCCCCACTCGAATGTTCGACCGAGTTTCTAAGTATTTTACCACTTGGGTAAACAACTTCACTTAAAGACCTAGTGATCTCGAATTGGTTAAAAGTTGTAACCCACATTACCAACAACTTACCCCCCACCGACCAGCATGGACGTGCACAGACCCCTGTAGAAAGACTACTTTCGTCTTGGAAGGGGGTTTGTGCACTTCCAGGTTAGTTGGTGGGAGGGTACTAACTTGGCTGAACACCCAAGGCTGTGGGGTTCCACCCTCCGCTCCAAGGCGCATCCAAACTCCTCAGGCCTGGAGGCCGTGTAGCGTCGGCGTCGCTGGATGTCACCTGAGGTGTCAGGTCACCTCTCAGCCCGAAGTGCCAGTCACTGCATTTCTTGCTTAACTCAGATAAACGGAAGGACAGTCTTTGGAGTTTCCTCCACACATGAGAAGTGCTGTTGGGCGAATGTGCGGCGAGTAAGCAAAAGTCGTAAGTGATCCGGATCATCTCTAATATGGGTTGTACGCTGCCAGAAACATCCAAGAATCCTCTGCCCATCGCTTTATGTAAAACTAAGTCTGCCCTTGCGGAAAGGAAATCTGCGCAGGTCAATGCCATGCCCGACTCAGGCAGGAGTATGCAAGAAATAACCCCCCCTGCATATCAACATGTAACCCTGAAAAGCCTTCATTTCTCGAGGAGTCGTTTCTGCTTTTGCAGGACCTCTGTTTGGATTTCAAGGGCTGCCGAGCTTCTGGTCTTGAAGAGATTCAAGCACTGCTCAATGACGTTCAGCTCCACCATGCGCTTGTGGCGCTCGTCTGGGCCTCATGCGACCCTAGGTGCCGTTTTTGGAAAATCACCTGGCACCAATCTGAAACCAGCGCCAGCTATGTTGAACTTAGCTGATCCAAAAAGACATGTATGCAACCGTACGCGCATAACAGGATGTGAACATCTCCGCATTACAAGTTACGAGCTCGTGCGGAGCAACAACCAGGCTGACAACCACAAACGATTTATGCCTGCTCTGCTGGGGCTCTGCCAGGGATTCCCAACAACAAAACACTGCCGCGGTCACGAACTCCCTTACCACCTCAAACACAAAAAAAAATCAGAGCCGGCAATATGGGGGGTCTTCCAGTATGGCTACTGAGCCTCAAACAAGGCACACCCATAGCCAGCAATAGCACCAGAACCCATCAATGGGAGGCATTGGAGAAAGACCATCATGCTGTCACCTTCATGCGGGCATGAAGGTGGGCAATGAAGTCGGGAGTCCCAATTCCAATGAGAAAAAAACAACAATGGCACAATCAATGGAGTTGGGGTTAGCCCCGTCCCTCAATGAACTATGTGCCTGCCAAGTCGCACAACAATTCCAAAACCTGAATCGCAAAGTAAGGACCAGTATCATGGTGAGCTCGTCTTACCCACCAAATATGCAGATTTTTAAGGGACCCGGTGGGGGCGGCTGGCGGTTTCGTCACTCGTGGCAAGTGACAGTCAATGGCATCCAGCTCCTCCTGGTGCAGGCGGTACACGTCTCGAATCCTCAGGCATGCCATGGATTCCCAAGACAGCCCTGGGCCCAAGCGCCCAGTCAAAATCGTGGCGCCCCTCACATGCGTGGTTTCCTCTTGGCTCCCCTTAAGCTAGAAACAGAAACGGGACAAAACTCCGATGCTCTGGTCGAGTAGTTGCAAAGTGAAGTCCAAACACCCATAACTTGCCATGGTCAAAGCTCCTTATGATTTTCATGGCCATGGTCACAGTTGTTTAACACCCGTATGGAGTTGATGACCATGCCTACGGACCCACGCAAAATGAGGTTGTTGTCATGAGAATCCCCTCCACAAAGGCAACGCCCCTTCAATAACTTCAAGGACGTAACATGGCCAACAGGAAGTTCAACAACTTTGGAGTGCATTTCAACGATGTTAGGAACCTGGAAGAAGGCAGTTGGCAGCTACTGAACTCAATGAGGCCTACAATCCAGGGCTCGCTGGATTCCAGTTTCAAAGTTGCATCGTGCCATTGGGTTCCAATAAACGGCACTTCTGAGTTTCCCCTACCCGCCCACTAACATAGAAGCCACCAAAAAGTGCGTTTAAGGCGCAAATCGTCCTCCAGAACCCTCTACCCAAACTGCGGGCACCCTTGATTCGACAAAACATGCTGAGTCCCTTTAAAACCACCCCCCTAAAATGGGCATCCTTAAAAGAAGGACAGACCCCTCAACAAATCCGTCACCGCGAAGGCCAAGTTTCCCAGAGAGCCAACTCTCCAAGGGCAAGGCGTGGTCCTTGACGGAGCAGGCGGCCTTGATGCCACCGCCTTGGGACGGCGATGAACATCAGGGTTCCTCCAAGGATTCAGAGCATGAAATATGGGATCCCCAAGTAAAGGACTACATCATGGTGCTAGCTTGCTTACAAAATGTATAGTAAGCAGCCAAAAGCCACCTCCTTTGCAAGCTGATCCTCCAAAAACACGTAAACGTGTTTTCAAACTAGCCCAATGTGTTCTTTAATGTCAGAAAACATTGGCTCCCATGCCCATGTTTGGCATACTTCTCTCATGGAACCTCACTAAGGGAACAAAACATATATATTTTCTACACATGGAGTTTCCCTTCGATTCCATATCAATCTGAGGGGCATATCCTCTTCAAACAGCGGCACAAGGGGGCACCCCGGTCCACAAAGGGGCCATACGTTTCACCACCCGCCCCCCCGATGTTGCTTGACACGCTGTCAATGGAAGGGAGGAAACCAAGACGCACAAAGTCCTTAGAAGGTGTTTAGGGACACAAACCTGTGAAGTTGACTTCCCGCTGAATGAGGGATCACCAAGGACCATCATCATGATGTCATGGGCTTGATACAGGGGGTGCGGAGGGATCCCGACAACCGGCAAGCATGCACTTTTGATGAGTAAGGCATGTCCAACATTCGGGGTCCCATTATTGCCTCTTTCACACACGTCGCCCCACCACAAGGAAAATGGACCTGAAAGTAGGTCCTTAGGTGGTGTTTACAACCTTCAAAATTGGAAATATGGGTGTGAATTTAACGGAGAATCCTTTAGTGCATCATTGCGGGGCCATCTCCACCAACCACTTTGGAGGTTCCCTGTTGAAATTCATAGCCCTTTGTGTTCAAACCCCGCGCCCTCGGGGCGGCACAGTCGTATTAATTCATAGCCCTTTGTGTTCAAACCCCGCGCCCTCGGGGCGGCACAGTCGTAGTGTCCGCATACCTCGGCTAGAAGCATTGCTTGCAGCAACCGTTTTCAGTCATACCCCGCTGCAGATGACGCAGAATACAACCCGAATGTGAAGAGAGGGGTCTCCTGTGGTTCCATCTTGCCTTGCTGCCTGGCTCGTTTGGCACACGGAAGCTGGTTAATTCGCTTGTGGGCTTGTCGCTCCACACATCTGCGCTGTGATTCTGGGAGGAAACGCAGCTCATGTATGGGGGCTGTAGGAACAATCAAACTTTGTTTGGTTTCCCTTTTTGAAAATAAACGATTTCGCACCGGCAAGCGAATGGAATTTGTTACAAATCGCCTTCCCTGCTGTGGTAGCGCAAGGCATGTACCATGGAAGGCGCCAAAACCATAAAACACATGCAGAAAAGGATCTCGTCGGTATGTAAGAAACCTCTGTCAATGGGGTACAGACCTAGGAAGTCAGTTTTCCCTTGGAGTTGGTTGGCCTGTTGGCCCGTCAACGAGCAAAAGACATGACTTCAGCAGGGCTTGTGCTTCTTGGAAGAAATCAAGGGTGTTGTTTTGCGCACTGTACCCTCCCTCCCTTTGAGGCCGTTGACCCTTCCGTTTCCCACCAAGTCGGCCCTTGCTTAAACGTGTGTCAACCACTGTTGGTCCAAGAACCTCCTTATGGCTTTCCTTGCAATAGAGGAGAAAGGCGCGAGTATTTAAACACATGCAACCAACCCTGCCACCCAAAAGGCAATGCCAGACTTCAGCTCCAAGGCGCGATGATATGCCGCACCTGCAGGTAGTCCACTGCATACTGCAGCACGGATCGCATGTTGGTGTCCGTGGCCACCACCTGGCTGAAACGTCGAGTGATAGCGATCCATTCGGTAGAAAAAGGGGGCCTGGTTGTTTTGTTGGCTCGCGCTTTCCTGTTGGGGGGGGTCGATCCCATGCTTAGTGGGCCTCCATGGTGCCGCTGCAACTTAGATAGGCGCATCGGAGCGAGCGCTTGGTGCGAATCGCGCAGGACTGCACGTCCATCAGTTTGCGAGCATGCGAATCTCAGCTGAGCTCCACGCCAAGTTGGCGATGTTTCCTGAGGCAGCGGACTTGATCTGCAAATCTTAGAATGTCCACGCCCCAATATACAGGAAACCTAAATGAGCACCTTCAGCATAGCTCCCTTCACCCCCCCCAATGCACTCGGGACAAAGTGGGCAGCTTAATGCAACATGTTGCGAGTCCAAGCTGCGATGTGTGAACAGCTCCCCAGGCTTTCCACCAATCAAGTTCTCCGCTGCCACTCGGCTGTCAGCGCCTTACGCGAGCAAACTCTGCAGCCAGGAACAGTGGTTGCACATGGACACATTCGACGCCGGTTTCGCAACTTCCGCCATCTTTGGATTGGATGTTAGGTAGCCTGTATGCTTTAACGGTCAAGAAGGAAACCCAGAGATGGTGGCTAATTGTTTGCCGATCCAGCATTCAGCACAGAGTAGTTATCGAGGCGCTGCAAGAGCAGCAGAGGCTCCAAAAGAAACACGTCAAAACCAGTTGACCGACGCCTGCTGCAAGAAATTTTGACCCAGGCAAACTGTTCTGTTGCAACCTCCAATACCTTGAGTCCCCACTGCAAAAGACGCACTTCTTTTGAAGGGGGGTTCGCACCTTTTGGGCCAATCTCAATTCAACGCCTAAGGGACGTTATGAGCAACAAGGTGCAAGGTGGCGCTAGCGAAATTTCGCCAAGGCACAGCCGATCCAAAGGTACTTCGGAGATTGGCCCTCACAGGCAGGCGCCAACAAAAAGGAGCAACACAAGCCACTGAAGACGCTCTTCATCAACCCCCTTTGACTCATGGCGTTCACTCGCAAAGCCATTGGTCTTCTGTTTTTTCCTCACCAGGTTCAATTCGTTGATGAAGAGATTACGGTATGCGGTATGCGTCGGGATCAACATGGGCGGCGCGAGTTTCGGGTTTGGGAAAAGGGGGAGGGGGGTCGAGGGAAATGAAAGCGTGCATGATCACTGAAACAACATGTGAGCATGATCACTGCGTGATCATGGAACAAACACGTCGCCTTATGCAGCTACGTGATAACTGAACAAACGCGCTTTCTTGCGCACTTTTGACCAGTTCGTGATGGCTAACATCCAATGGTGACATACATGCTGCTGGCAGGCTGCTGCAAACAGATCACACAAGCTGTTTGTTGTATCATCGACAGGCTGATGTTCTTGCTGCTTCCCACAAACAAAGACTCAGATCGGCGGCTGCAGTCCATGTCCAGTGCCGCTAAACATGAAATGCAATTTCTGGAGCTAATGTCGGTACCCAATTAACCAAAGGGTAATCGGAGAACAATCAGTCTTTCCAAAATCATCATCTGCCCCCAAAATAAAAAGGGGTATCAAAAACAATAAAGTGTTTACAAGTGTTTGCTCGGAATTCGTCTTGGACTTAATCAAGAAAAAAACGCTTCTCTGTCCGGAGTTTTTGGTAGGGACACAACACCCACCCCCCAAACTGTCTCTCCGCCCCTGCCCTATCACTAGTCCCTTCTTCTGAGGACTGAGATGCAAACAACACCTCCCCGAAAACGCAGAGTTCCCTACATCTGCTTTGTAGGAGTGCTCAGCCGACAAAACTCCAAGGGAGTAGTACATGGCCCTGAAAACTCAATTTTAGAAATGACAAAGTTGTACTGAATTGCGAAACCGTTTTCCAGGCCAGGAAGAAGACTATTCAACCATACTAAGCTAGAACCAGAACAACGCCACTACCAAAGCAGCACAAAGCAATACTAAACTAACACAAAACCAATTCTAAACAGCAGTGAGTTAGCTCAACTAAATCAGAAAACAACTCAAAACCAGTACTAGGCAGAGCGGACCAAAGACAAACAAAGCAACAATACTAAGGCAATATTAAAGTAATACAAGTCAATACTAAGCCAGTACCAAGGCAGCAACGAAGCAATACTGAACCAATACCAAGCTAGTACTAAAGAAGCACAAGGCTGTTAATACAATACTAAACGGATTATAACCAATACTAAGCCAGCACTGCAGCGGCACAAAGCAATACTAACCGGATTCTAACCAATACTGACTAAGCATGCAACTTGGGAAAGGCCTTTCTGACCCAAGTTGTTTGACCGGTTTTCTCTATTGGGTTCCGATATTGTTTGGGGGAGGGGGGGGACCCCCCCTTTAAACTTCATTAATCAGAAAATCACATGAGCTCACAATGGAAATGACCATCCGCAGATCTTGGGATGCGCGTTCCATTTTCCCAAAAGGGACGCCCCCGGTTCATGCCTACCTTGGGACAACCAACAAAATGTAACCCTGTTTGCCAGCGCCTTCCTGCGACAAAAGCCGACTAAAGCCGACTTGAAGTCTGTGCAACTTCCCCCTCATGATTCCGCGGCCCATGGCCCATATTGTAAGGACCAGCTTCCAGGATCTTCCCCAGTCGCAACCAATGATCCAACACGTAGAAAGGGGGAAACACTTTTAGTGGGAGCCGAATCCAACAGAGAGCAAGAGAAAAGTGTGTCCACTTTGGGAAAACAAAACCGTGTGTATTGGGTACCCCCGCGCCAAAAATAGGGATGGACAAATAAGCCTTTTTGGTTGAGTCTTCCCTTCACTTACCCACAAGAGAAGTGCGCCATCTACTTTCACCCTAGCAGGGTGAACAACTGGGTTGCGTGAGAGCTTCGGACCTGTGTAAGCCGCGGAAGGGATCCGCCCAGATCCCGGATCCCAGCCTGCCCGATGCGCTGGAAGAACCTTCGCCAAAACCCAGCGGCAAGTTGCCGAAAAACTAAAGCTCACTTTATACTTTCGGAGTACATGGTCAGAAAAAAGCCCAATCAACTTTTGTTTATCGCTAAAACGCTTAAGGGTCACCAAGTGTGGAAGAGAGAACATTTGAACAACCCATACGGAAAGCCCTTCATTGCCACAGTTCCAATTACTCGAAACCGGCAATTCCCGTTTTGTTCCAAAATTGGGGGGATCCCCAATCCGTAGTGAAGCACCAAAACAAGCGACAAAATTAGTATCCGGAGGCACTAACATTTGAATTCGAACAACCTCGGCTGTCCTGGATTGACAAGACCTTTGCCGGATTCATGTGGTGCGCTTTGCTACCAAAAAACGAGGTCCCCTCGTGTTCCGTCTAAAACGTCAAAAGGCTTGCCCCCGGCTTCGCAAGCAATCGGGGTGGATGATTAATCGCCTGGGGTCCCATTCTCCCAAAGCTTCAAAGCTAGGTAAGTCGAACACGGAATGCCCAGCACCACCGACACCTCCCAAGCTTGAAAGTTCAACAGCAGGATAACTCTAGCCAAAAGCCCAGTCCAGTGACCAGGTAGACGAAAAGAATAGGAACCCTTTTCGGAGATTGAGAGGTTGTTAAGGTAGGAACGCTTGGGGTCAAATAATTCAATGCATGTTTTTTCTCTTGCACTCATGCCAATGTATGGCTTCAAAGTCCCAAGCGAACAACTGTTGGCCACTTGCGTCGAGGAGCTCCGGATCGACCTTCAAAGTCTCCTTCTGCCAGGCCTTGTTGCGATCTCCCAGCTCGCCCACCTTGTGTGCAACAGCAAAAGGGTCTCTCCAAGAAATGTAAGCGTAATTAATGCTCACTCTTGACAAAAAAGACATCAGAAAGCTAGGAACAATAAACTCGAGAATGACGAAATAGCAAGAGGCAGAAACGCGCGACTGCTGAGGAGACCGGGCTCGGAGAGGGTGCGGAGCGAGTCCAAAGCTGACTAGGAACGGGCGCGGGGACGGGACCACTGGCACGGCTGCGCGCATTGTGAACCCTCTGCGGGCTCTGAGCGTGTCTAGCCTCAAAAACTCGTGGCCTTTTACGAATTCACTTCGCTCGCGCAACCTTTTGCTAGCTTTCGGCGGGTCGACCTCAAACAACTCGCGAGCTTTTGCGCTTTTCAGAAAGATCAGCCATCAAAGGTAAACCCTCTGGACTTCCAGGGGGTCAACCGAAAAAAGAAGAAGAACAAAAACATGACTTTGGGTGCATTTGTTCACTTTCGTGGGCTAGAGAGAGAGAGAGACAGAGAGAGAAAGAGAGAGAGAGAGAGCGAGAAGTAGAGAGAAAGAGCGAGAGAGCGAGAGAGAAAGAGAGAAACAGAGAGAGAGAGAGAGAATGAAAGACACCCAGAAAAAGGAAGGGGAAGAGAAAGAGAAAGAGGAGAAAGAGAAAAAGCGAGAGAAAACGAAAGGGAACGAAGAAGAGCAACACAAAGAGAAAGAGACTAAAGAAAGAGGAACATCAAAAGGAAGAGACAGAAGAAGATAAAACAACAGATAATGGAAAGAAAAATATAATGGGAATAGAAAACCGAGATAGAGAGAGAGAGAGCGTTAGGGAGAAGGGAAACAAATTGTGTTCCAAACTATAGTTCTGAAATCATGTACATGGTTGAAACTTCCGCCCCTGGCTCTGCTCAACCTTACTGATACATATGTGACCATAATAAAAAAACATATGGCCACGGTTGTGGAAACCCACCCTGTGATATAACGTAGTTGATTCCTGTGACTACTCAGATCACTGTACGGCGCGTCCCTTGGGAACACAAACAGTGGTGCTCAAACCCAGTTTTCCGCCACCGTGATCAAGCTGCTGCGCCTCAGAATCTAGTATTTACAATATGTTCGAATCTTCAACAAGGGACCCAAGTAAACGAAGTAAAGGACCTGCGTCATGGTGAGGTCGTTATCCTTCCAGGTTGCAGCTGACTTGAGATCCCGGTTGGTGCTTGTGAAGAGACTACGCCTCAGCATCCGCAAGCTTGGCGTTGTTGGTCCGCTCCATGTGGTCATTGAACTCCCAGAGCGCCTCTCGCGTTTAGAAATGACATGCATCAAAAAGGAGGCCCACAAAATGGGTGGCTTCCCTTTTTAGCTTTCCCTGAAACCAACTCCAAAATGCTGAAAAGCGATACCCAAAAAAAAGCTTGCCGATTTTCTACCCTTGAGATTTGAAAGGCTCGGAGCAACAGGCGTGTTGCGACTTCTCCGATGTACAAACGCGCACAATCAAGACTAAGCCCCGCAACCACACTAGAACATGGACAAGTGTGGCAACCACGGCCTCAGGCTCCACCCAGGAGTTCATGTACTGCGGGATCTTGTCTTTCGAATCTCAGGGCGGCTGAGGACTACGCCGGCCTTCCCTTCACAAGCACAAAGAGACAAACTCATCCACATGCGACTGGGCTTTGCCGCCGTGAATGTCTTGCGCCGAATGGTGGATGGCATGAAGAGCTGCCCGGCTTGTCAAGTCTCCGGGCCCCGTGTCCAATTATGTATGGTTCGCTCCCTGGCAAGCAAACAAGAGAGCAAGTGAGCAAACCACAAAGCAAGCAAGCAACCAGGCAAACACACATAATTCATGAGGTGTTCTTTTGCTGACAAACATTTGGGGACGCAACTAACTAAAGGACAGCAATTAGAATGCCCATTTCTTTTGCAAAGAATACCGGCATGATTTGTGACTAGCCGGTTTACACAAGGGTGCCCTAAGGCTGCTCTTCTCTCCCAACCTGTCTTTGTGAGGTTGCAACGTTCCATCAAAAACCGCAAATTGCGGTGGATGCCCCAAACATATTGCAAGCACCAAAATCAACCAAAAAACCCATGACTCGGCCCACGACCCCCTTCGGGAAACCAAATCGTGTGCTCGCCCAGCGGCCCGAGAAAGCCCGAAGGCTTCGCCGCGACGCCGCGGCCCAGCCGCGCGCCAGGCCTGAGGTGCGCGAAGAGTTCAACGAGCGCCGGAGATCTTCTGGGGGCTGCACGCTTTGTGTGGGAACCCACTTTTAGTTGGATTTCTATTGGAAGCCAAAGGGGAAAACAACATTGTATGTTTCGGTTTCTTCGGGCGTTCCTTATTTTTTGACAAAGTCGTGTTGTTGTTGAGCTGTTTGGGGGTGGGTTTGAAGGGCCAAAGAAGGAAATCACGATGTTGGGGGTCACCCGCTTTGACACACACCCACTGGATTGATCACAAAGTGACATCAAAATTATTCGAGCTTCTTCATGGCGGTTCAAAAAAGAAGCACCTCCAAATGCAATTTTGAGAACCCCATTCACTGTAAGGGAGCCAGCAATACGATTTGCGGATGAATAGGGGGTGTTAGGGAACAAGAAGAAGTTTGTCAACGCTGGGGGGCTGCTGCGCCAACACCTCCCGAGGTTAACTTCCACAAAAACCCTGGTACTGTTTTGTGGTACAATTGACTCAACTGAATTCAGGAATGATGAAGGGACCTTGAATTCAAGAGTGAGTTCTCGAACGCAGTGCAAACGCATCTGGCTTCACAGAACCCCTAAGGTCCCCTCCACTTCTAGTAGTCTAGCCTTCCCTAAGGCAAAGTGGAACTTTTCATGGCATTCCAGCAGGCCGCCCCCTCCACAATTCCATTTATAAGGGTTGGGGAGTTTACAGATTCACCCTAATGCAAACAGCCCCAGTTTTCAGGGAGCTCGCCCTATGCGCCGGTTCCCAGACCATTCCAAACCTATTTGTCATGCCAAGATCCGCAGAACGCCAGAAGGCACATGCGTGTGGGGGTGTCTTTTTGCGGCTTGTACTGACCCTCTTGTAACGGCAAAACCCACTTGCCCAGTGACCTGAATAATGGAACATGGGGAGCAATATGGGAGACTGACCAAAAACGAAGGGATTTCCAGAATGGAATCCACCGCAGTAACTGAAAAGCAGGTACCCCGAAGTTGAGGAAACAAAGTGAAACTCCCGTCCCAGACTTAATGTTAAGCGAAACGGTCCGTTTTGCGTGGCCGCTTTGGAGACCTTGCTGCTCTTGCGTCCCCGCGGCTGCGCGGCGCCAGGAGTCGGGTCAACATGGCGAAGAGACGGGGTCTGAGTCTGGTAAAGCTGCGTCCGGTCAATGAGCCGATCGGCAATCGAAACTACGCAGCCAATTGCATGGCAGCGGCGTTTCCATGCTACATTGCAACCCGTTGGCAACTACAATTACTTCGTAGCTTGGAGTTTGAAATCATCCCTACAGGCGGAGGATATAGTCCACGCAATGTATATTTGGCCCTCGCACGCGAAACACATGGGCAACCCAAAACCATTCAAACCCGTTGGGTTCAGAAGACAATGACCCAGAAACACGAAAACAACATGCAACACACACTTACCCCACAATTCCCGGAAGCTTAGAGTAGCAGCTGAGGGAGAGAAGCGGAAACTTGCGCACAGAAATAGATGAGATATAATTGGCTGAGAGTTGGGTGATCCTAAACGGCTTCGAACAAATTGTTCCAGGATGCTACACGCAAGATTGTCCTGAGTGCAAGTGCACTCATTTACTGTATCATGACCCTTGAGCGCTTGAACGGGGCCCCCTGATTCCCAAGTCGCAACAATGCATCTAGGAGGCCTCCCCTCCCTGCACACGTTTTGAAACGCCACGCTGCTCGAGTGCGGAGCTGCCTTACTCGACGACTATCACGATTGCTCCAAAGCGCAAGGCGATTTGCTTTGTGATTTTGCTCCAAACCACTCAACTCCCATTGATTAGCGCAGCTTGCTGCCATGGCGTCTCTTGGAGATCTGCCAAGTTCTGTGGGCAGCAGTGGGAGGAACCCCAGCGAGCCCAACCCGCGGAGCACATCGAAAGTTCAGGCACGATGTTCACAAGCCTTCCAGGGTAAACACGGCATCGAGTGTCCGAAAATAGGAGGTCTTCTTTTGATCGAAACCAAAAGGCAACCAACAAGTGTGACTGACCCCCTGTGTGAGCAGATGCCCAAATTATACATGCGAACTGCCTCAACTGCCGTCCTGGAACAAGGAATCGCGTGCAGCTCAAGATGTGCATGCAATGCCGGAAGAACAAAAAACAATGTCGGAACTCGTGACAGTGCAAATGTCATGCAAGGTGCTTCATGCCAGGCTACACTGCGATTCCACTCATGCATGCGTGACTCAAGGCTAGCTGCATATCTTCGTGGTCAACATCGCCAACAAGGCGAGTGGTTGCAGAAAATGAGCAAAACAAAAGCAACCTAATTAGCCTGGCATTTCCGCCTGGCGAGAAGGGACCCTGCGCAACAGCCGCAGCCCAAAAAACAGGTTCGACATGGCGCCTGTTTGCTGCTCATGAAGCATCAAAAGCTGCCGAAAAGCCTTTGGAAACGGGAATGAAGTGCCCATCCAAACTGAGCCCCGTGACGAGCCAGGTCCATTGCCCTTACACCCATGTAGGGCCCTGACCGATGAAACAACAGGCGTCTTGCGTTGCAGGCGCTTGTTTCTTGGCTTTGGGGCTTTTGCAACTTTGAGACACGTCAATATATGGGCATGCCTCAACATGGAAAAGCTCCTTTTGGATGGCTGGCGTGAAAGCCTCACGGTTCCTGCCGCTGAGTCGGCGTCACATTACTGAGCAGGCAGCTTCCACATGAGGCGGAGCTGGAAGCCCCCACTCCTTGTCATAGGCCGTGTTCCGGCCAACCGGCTGGCCGTACTCCTGGCTTCCACTGCGCATGCAGGCAGCGAGCATGTCCAATATTGTCCAATGCTGACTGGGTACCACACAGGAACGGGAGTGCAAGCTTTTCGTTTCTGGCCGCTCTTGGACGCCAACCCTGCACACAGCTGCGCCTAAGCTCGACATGTGAGTCACAATGAAAGCTGGCGACTGCGGCGGTCTCCCCAATCAAAGGGGCGAAACGTCGCGCTTACTTTTCGTTAGGACTGTGGGGGGGGAGGGTTGTGGCTCACCTTTCGGCAGCCCGTCCTTCTCGTAAAAGGCCCACCAGCTCATGAGCCCCTGCAACCGCCTGCGATGCACAGCCGCTTTCAAGCGACTGGTGCTTGGCCAAGCCCTTGTTCAAACATGCTTCAAACACTGCAAAACAACCTCCTTTGGCTGTCGATTGTTGAAGGGGACCAGGGAGGCTCTGGTTGTTTTCTATTTTCAATTTTGGATACTCTCACCAGAGTCGGACTTTCACTGGGCTGGGTCTTCCAAGGGAAACTTCACATAAAGTTCGCCGACAAACAGACTAGATGTTTCGAATTTGGCTGCAGGCTGCTAATCCTTCTGGAACCTGGGTGGCCTGAAAGGGACCGACTGTCTTCCTCTAGCAGGGGCCCTCTTGCAGCTTCGTTCCTTGAGGCATTGCGGAATGCTGAGGGGTCTGCCGGTCTGCCGCTTCGGCCGGTTGGATCTTGAAGAGGTCCTTGGCGCATGGAAGGCCAGACTTGTAGTTCTCAGTTTGGGAAGTGGGCATGCCTTTCCCATTCGTCCTTTTGGCCTAAACCAACGATGAGGGGTGATTACGAGGTCCTGTGTTCAAAGCAAAAGCTCTCCAAATCTTGGAGTCCCACTGGGACCGCTGGAACGATCACTTTGGATATGGCCGCCTTTTTGAAGTGATCTGGAATTTAAAGGGACGAGATTTTGGGCGGCCCTCCAAGCATGACCAGCGTTCGAGTTTCAAAAGCAGGTTGAGGCACCCTTGCTAGTTTTCCATAGTTTCCTCGGTTTCCATGGTTTCTCTGGCGTCCATGGTTTCCATGGTCTCCATGGCTTCTATGCCGTTTATGGTTTCCATGGATTCTATGGCGTCTACGGCTTCTATGATTTCTACGGTTTTTACGGGGTTGTTTGAAAGGGAAGCGTCCCCCCGAACAAAAGAAACTACAAACATAATTCCAGGGGTCAGCCACCTCCCCCAATTCCATCTTTCAGGGGCGGGGATCGGATAGGGAAACAAACAACTGGACCAACTATTTTGGGGGTTCCCCCATTCTCAACATCTCTTACCCGAGTGATGTTTTCCAGCATCACACAGATTGGGCAATCAAACAGGCGCTCGATGTTAAACTTCCATGAAAGTGACATCCTCAAGGTTACATGGTAAATCATGGATCATATAGCCTCTAAATGGTAGTTTTAAACGAACACCATGAACACCTCCAAAAGCAACTTTGAAAAACCCTCAAATGTCTTGCCGCTTTAACCCTGTCTTACACTCCCGATTTACTGCGTAAGCGGCATAGAACTTGTCCATGTTCTCCTCAGAGTCCTGCCAAGTTTCAGCTAGGAGACATACGGGTGTCTTTGAGGTAACCCTAAATCCTGGTGCGGTTCCTTTGGTGTCCCTTGAAAAGAAACTTGTAATTGCTTGTGTTGTGTAGGTTACCCTCCAAACAACAGCACCCTTTTCAGGTTGGTTGAGAGGGAAGATAAAGGGAAAGCTGTCATTTTGGGGTTCCCCTATTTTGAGACAAGCCCATATCATATCTCTGATCTAATATGACCAAGGTGGTTGCTACTACCCTCAAACCAGGCCCGGGGAAAAAAGGGTTCATACCTCCACATTTAATGGCTACAGCGTTTGTATCTCCCATGGTTCCCTTGGGGTACGGGATAGGCGGGATCGGTGGAAACCATCCTAGAAATACGCAATCCGTGGACGGAGCCCTCTTTGGCGTGAAAGGTCCAAGCCTCACCGCTCACGAGGGCCCAAGTGATGTCTTTGCCGGTCATGTACCTATCCGGGGGCAGAAAAAAGCTTCATGGCGCTCCTGGAGCTAACCCCTGCGCACATGCGACATGTTCTCCAAATGGTGGAACCTCTCGAATCACAATAAAACAAACTGCTCTCAAGCAAAACACTCTCAAAAAGTATACGGCTGCTTTCACAATGGGTGGTTTCTTCGTGGCTTCCCTGGTACTCTCGGACAAGACATCCCTCCCGAACAAAAACAATGGATATGCAACCCCAAATTTTGGGTGATTCCTTCTTGGCTTCCATTTAGACACAACGCTGGACATGTCGCCCAGGGCGCCAGTATGGCCCATCTGGTCCGTACTTATCTGGCCGATCCTGAGCATGCAGCTGGGGAGAGGTAGCTTGGGATCCCATGGTTTCCTCTCTTTGTAGGGGAACAAGGGGATTCAGGATTCCGGGCATGGTCGCAAAACAGAACTATTCTGTGATGCCAAAAAGGCCACCCCCCCCATGACTAGTTTCTCATTTCAATAGTTGTTCCTGCATCACGGGACTGGCACTAAAACCACGTTCCTGCTTTCAAGTTCCAGCGTGACTGTTTCAAATTTTGCTGCCGGTGTCATGCACCAGTGGGTTCTGCTCGTGCTCAAAGTGTGTAAAAGTGAAGCTTCATGCCACATGCTGTTGGTGCCCCAGCAGGGCTTCTCCTGACCGTAATCGCTTGCATCAAGGGGCAGAAACGTCGAAAATGTCACCATACACTGAGATGAGCATCCGCGGGCCTGGCAGAACAAAGTGAAGCTAAAGAAAAGGCGGGGACATGTTCGCGCCAAATGGGGATGTCTTCTTTTGATTAGCCTTGCCTTTGGGGTTAAAAAGAACAAGCCAATTCATCCGTGGTTCAAAGGATGCCGTCAAAACACGATGCGACATCGAAGCCTAAAACAAACACCAAACTGGTCTGGCTTTCTTTGGAAACAAGTGTTTTGCTTTGTGGCTCATAGTGCATAAATTGAAAATATGTGAACCTCTAGAGGCCTTTTACAGGTGATATCGCTCGTTTTGTCCCTGGATTGGGGAGCTCGATGGACAAGTTGTCCTAACGTTCCTGCAGCGTGCGTTCGCATTCTATGAACACAGTAGAGCCCCTGAGAACAACCTAGCAAAGTCCCAGTGTTTTGGAAAATAGATGAACCTAGTGAATGATTGGAACCAAACTGAAACCAGTGAACCCATCCATGTTCAAACCAACTTAGACCAGAACTGCCAAATATATCATTTGGTGGTCATTGATCCCCCTACTATCAAATCCCAAAGGTGTTTTGGAGCCACCCAGAATCCTTGCCTTCGCATCCGTGTTTCTCCCGCAGGTCCTTCCCGGAGATGCGGCCCACATCCTTCCGGAAGTCCGAGGGCGGCTTGACGCCTCAGTGAGCGAAAGCCTCTCGGGCCCAAAGGATGGCAAGTCAAAGGCCAATGGGTTTGTCGGGTTTCCCTCGTGTTCTAGCTGTTCGTCCCCACTCGTTTCAGGCATCCTTCTGTGCAGAAAAGTGCCAACAAGGACAACGGAAGCTGGCATGTGTTTGAGAGGAACAGTGGATGAAACAAATGGGGGATCAACCTTTGACTGCTTCAAACAACCCTACTCCGAGTTCTAAAGCCAAGCCGCCCCTGGGCCGCGGCATGGGCCGGTGCCCCCCTTCCGCCTTCAGATTCGGCGCCAGCGTCCTCGGCTTCCACGGGGTTTTTGTTGGTAGCCAAATCGGCGGGGGGGGGGGAAATGGGTAAAGCTGCTTTGGATTTCCGGTTGAACCCATGTAAAGCGTTTAAATTCTCAATCTCCGATTGAGTTCCGATTAAAACCAGCCGACAACGGGCCAATGACCCTTTTACATAACATATTCCCAAACAGGGTTGTGGAACCTGGGTTGGCTTTCTTCGGTCATGCCATTGGAGTTCTGAACATCAGCCAAAACCATTCTAGACAACTCCTTGTCCTAAACGCCGCTTGCACGGCAAAGGTGGGAACTTCTACTGTACGGACTTCCCGGGAGCCTGGACCTGCCAAGTTGCTCCCCGGTGGTCGGATCTTTCCTGAGAGCGAATCAGAACCGCCCAACTGGTGCTTGTCAAGCTTCGCCCGCGAATTGCAAAATCAATCAGCCGGAACAAGGCCTCCAGGGTATCAAATCGTAGTGTATTAGGCACTAAATTGTGTTCTCATCAAACTCCCGATTGGATGAAGCCATGGTTTACAAGTGTCAAGGGCCAAAGGCTGGAACTTTGCCTCTTGCACCAGGGCCATGATGCAAGCAGAAGGACTGATTGATTGGCCAAAACAAGGAAGGTGGATTTCCACATTGCAGCCGATGTGTGACGCAGGCCGATTCTCTGAAGTTCTGGCTTGCAGCCTTGCTCTGTTTCCCTTCAAGCCGTCCATCGCCCTGCTGCGCATTCACATGCGCTCAGTGTTTCGAGCAAGCCTCGCCCGCTCAAACGTGCATCCCATGTTGCCCCGCCTCCTGTTTGGGTGTGCGCGTGTGTGTCAAAATGGGGGGGACCCCCCTTTGGTGGTTTCCATTTTTGGTTTCCCAAACCACCACAACCACACGGAACCCACAGCGCGCTGCAAAGGAACATGGTCCCAAACGGTACGCCCCAGTCAAGTTCCATGGGTGGGAGGCTGCCCTTTCGGGGCTTGGTTGAAATTAAGATGGGGGACCCGCCCATTTCAAGGGGGGCGTTTTCCCAAGAAACAAACCTACATTGGTGTGAGGCACTTGTCGTACTGCTCGAGGTCCGGCCCGGCCTTGGCCTTCAGCCGCGCCTCAGGACGTGCGCTCCCATACTGTAATTAACATGATGTAGCATGGCACTTGACTGGGGGTGAGCATCTGTTCTGCCTAGGTAAGTTACAATGGTTTTCTGGGGCGGTTGACTGGAGGTTACTGCCCACTTAGCCAGCTCCGAGACCATCCAAGCAACAAACAACAGCTTGCGCATGGCTGTTATGGAAGGCACCCAAGTGAGATCCGCGCATACTGCTCTTGGTAGAAGCTCTTAAACATGTTCTTCTTGAGCTGCCGCTCCTGGCTGGACGAAAGAGAATGTCATGGCTGCAACCTGCACAGCCCACCCCGAGTTGCAGACCGCAACTGCTCGCTGAAAACAGGCGTCCCGGCCAGCCAACCTTACAATGCCGCGTGCTCACCTAGCCATCTTCTAGTGTCGGCCCTGGATTGATCAACCTTGTTGAGCAGTTGGGTCTGCGTGTGTGTGTGTGTGTGGCTCCCACAAGCCATCCACATCCTCCAAACTTAGTTATCTCCCCACTCAGAACCAAGAAGAAGGTTCTGCTTGCCAATTAACTCGGAGGTCCGCCCCGTCCTGGTCCGAGACCTGCGTGTGAAGCCAAGGATTCTCCATCTCCTCCCGCTGTTGCGCGCTCATGCCTCATGGCTGGGGCAGGCAACTCTCCTCTTCAGAGTGTTGCGCTATGCACCTGGACCCTCAGTCTGCCTGTTGCCCAACGATTGATGGGGGTGAGGTTTCCAATGCTCGGGGTAGTTTGTGGGTCCAGGTGCCCTCTGTCCAATAAACATGGAAGTGGGGAGGTGGTGTGTTGAAAAAAGGGAGTCTTTCAAACCGTCATGCGCGAACATGGAAGTTGACAGAAGGTGAGTTAAAGATGATGATAGTCTTCCCACTCACCCCTAGGTACACTTCAGTGATTGTTGGAAAAGGGCACATGGATCATCTGCACAAAGCCCCTCAATGGCCTGCTCGAACCTGCTTCTTCATCCTCTTCAGCTCCTTGGCGCCGCGACATGCCTACCCTCGCTTACCACACAGTTCTGCGTTGACGGAAGCCGCCGAGCAGTGGATGCCTTCGAGCTGACGTTGGCCAAGAGACATGGAATGGCTCTACGACAATCAAACAAATACACCTTAAGAGCGAGGAGCAACAAGGGGCTATTTAGCACCCAAAACCGTTACTTTATGTTACTTTCCTCCAGCACGGGCTTTTTCTCAAATGGGCCAGGCGCATGGGGCTTTGCCAATGGTGTTGAGGGTTAGCCGTGCCAAGACTTTATATTTCAAAGCCCTGAACCCCAACAAAACCACCGCCCTATAGATCAAATTTGGATCCGTGTCTATGGAGGCGTGGTGGTTGAAGTCCGATGAGAGGAGGCAGCAGCAGCAAAACGATACCTTCTGTCCGAGCTGCCGGAGATCCTGGTAGAACACAGGAGCCTTTTTTTCGGGGTTGACTACTCCTGGCAGGACGCCACCAAACAACAATGAACATACTTAGCGGGTGTGGGTCATACTTCCTGCCAAGGCTCCCTCTCAAAGTCCGCGTTCTTCTTCGAAGATGGACAGTTGTCATCGAAGTCCTGTCGCAAGTTCTTCATCACCGAGACTACTCGCACTGGGGAATGTCCGCAGCTGCTGACAAGCAAAACACATTTGCCAGCATCATAGCACCGACATGTCTCCCCTCCTCATCTGACGAGGAGTCAAAGACCGTCTTTTTGTTCTGCGGCAAGCGGTCGATCCGTCGACCCAGCTCATCATACTTCTCTTCATCCTTCTTGCCTGCGGTCACCGTGCCTACGTGCCCGGCCCAGCCATGCCACAAATCACCCTTGCTTGCAAGGTGATCATCAAATATCAAAAGATTTCGAACACGCCGAGCTCGTTTCTGACCAAGCGCCATCGGATTCTCAAAACAGTGACCAGCATTCGGATTCCAAACAAGTCAACAAAAAGAACAACAGCCTCTGAATGCATCTGGTCAAGCTTCAGGCTTTCAGGATGTGCCTGACTTCTTAGCCTTGGCCTTGACCTTCGCTTTTGCCTTCGGCTTAGGCTTCCTCAGCGTGCTCTGGCCGTCGAGCAACCTTGTGACCATAACCCATCTGGGCTCGTCTCCAAACAGGGGAGCATCCTGTTGAGGTGGTTTCTCCTTAGTTTCTCTTTGAAACAACCTCAAAACATCTCCGAACACGCATACTCGCTTCTCAATGGTTGGAAACTCTGACATGAATGGATATGGGAATCAAACATGCATCCCCTCTTGTGCTCTAACTTCAAGACTCATACCCAAGCTAAGCCCCTGACCTCCAGTTCGTTTCCATCGGGAAAGCGGCATCATTCCATGTTGATTGATATTGAAGGGAAGTCCACTTCAAACAAGTTGAACAAAGGAACCGCATCATCAACAAAGTGTCCCAATGAAAAGTTATGCCGCTGAAGCTTTCTGCCAGATTGTTTCCACCGATGATGGATGCCAAACAAATCCAAGCAAGATGGCTGCAATCTTCCAGAACCAAAAAATGACTTTGTGTCCGCGCGGCCCCTCTTTCTCCTCCTCTCGACCTACAGCGAGGCCGGACAGGTGCACCTCATCACCTTCCCGAGTGAAGGTGAAGGTGATCCTCGCATCGGCCGGCGTCTGTCAAGCTGTTGCTTGTTTGCTTTTGTGTGATTTTTGAGGGTACCCTGTTTTGGGTACATTTGGAGGGGAACTCGAAGGAACACCCCCCCGTTGACATCCATTTTGCATCTTCCAACAGGACCGCCTGAAAGGAAATAGAGGGCGGCCTTCCCTTGTAAACATATCCGCTGTCCCTTGTACTGAGAGAGTCAGTTACAAAGCCCGTCCAAACCTCTTCAAGCGGAAAGAATTCAAAGACCAACTGTGAATTGGCCAGGTTGTTCGAATTCCCAGTTTGCAAGTCGCTGGTGAGGCGAAAAGTGTGTTAGGCACAAACATCCTTTGGTAAGTACCTCTGCACTGGGGCGCGGGCTTCCCTGCTTTGTCTGCCACCGCCTTGCCCGATGCAGTGGCCTCCAAACGGAGCACAGGTCCCCAAGGTGGGTACGAATGATTGGGGAAAGAAAACCCGCCCATGTACTCTCCCGTATTCTTGGTCCGTTGCGCACTCGAGATGAACACGCGGGCGAGCGGTCCAGATTCACATCTGCCAAAGAATTGAAGGCCAGGCTGGTGCCGCGCTAGTCCAGCCTCCTTTGACTTGCTGGCCGTGGTCTTGCCCTGGTCCTCCCCATTCACAGAGAGGCCTCAGTTTTGGAAGGAACTCAGATTCAGCTCGGTCAGAACGCCACGGGTCCGAATTTCATCCATGCCAATTCAAGGCCAAAGAGCGTGGTGACTGAAAGCCTGGCTGGCTTTCTCATTTGCCTGCGCCCTCCCCCACAACTCCGACCTCCCTCCAGAAATGAGTCCCTGTATTCTTGCTGCTGCTGGCAGGCCAGAATTGCACATGTTTGCCTGCCGGACGCGGGGCTCCGAGCCAGCGTTGCGCTTCCCGCCAGTGCTGGAGGCCCACGGACAGAAGAGTTGGCTTAACTTGTGTTGGCCTCCAAGGCACCTAAACTGCGACTCCATACGTCACAAATCAATCCGGACGTCAAGGCCCGGCCAACCAATTTCAACCAATTTCAACAATGATCCAAATTGGTACTTGGCGCCAACGGTTGCCTTCCGCCGGCTCGCCAGGGATCTGATCCGATTACCGATCTTTCACACTGCCTCTAGGGCCCATGAGAGTGGTCCGGCCGTTTCAAAATGTCTCCCAATGTTTCCCGCATAATTATATTCAAATGTCGTCACCGAATCCATAATCCCTACTGGAGCCCAAGATTGAGGGGTTGCCTTGGAACAGCCCAAGAATGCTTTGACTTCATAACTTCGAGGCGCTGTTGGCACTTCCGTAGAGGTTCGCCACCTGATAGACCTACCAGGCTTGCAGAGCTGGATTTGGGTCAAGGCGGTCATCCATATGACTGGTCATCTCACGTCCTTGTGCGAGGTTGCTGGCCAACCCTGACCACAAGAAACGAGGCGCTTCGAGGAAAAAAAAAACACATATTTTGCCTGTCCGCAACACCCTGGTGCGGTGAGAGCCTCTTCCTCCCTTCAAGAGTAAGGGGACAGCCCCTCACAGGCATTCTCACGCCCATGCGCTTCATCAATGCGATTGCGCATGGCACTGAGTCGGCAAAAGCCGCACAGTACAAGCATGCTGCCAAACAAACAAACAAACAAACAAACAAACAAGCAAACAAACAAACAAACAAACGAACAAACAAAAAAACAAACAAACAAACAAACAAACAAACAACAAAAACAAACAAACAAACAAACAAACAAACAAACAAACAAACAAACAAGCAAGCAAGCAAACAAACAATCAAACAAACAAAAAACAAACAACACAAACAAAAAAGCAAACAAACAAACAAAAAAACAACACATACTTTGTCAGGCCGGCTCGGATCGAAGAAAGTCAGCACATCCATTGCTAGTGACTTCACGTGACTTTTACATAAAGCTTGTCAGAAGCTCCCTTTCACCCCAGCAAACAACGCTTTGCTATAAACTTGCATGGTGTGTAACAAATGACACGACCACAAGGGGCCCTCTTGAGGGATCTTTACTCTTTGAAGGGGTCCCTTGATTTGTTCGGAGAAAGGAGATGGTCCCAAGGCGTACCCTGGAAATTGTCTCCTGCCTTCCAAAAGTAGGCGACCTCTGGGTCAAGGCCAGAGACCACCGCTCGTGCTGTGCCAGGCTTGTTGCGAACAAAGCCAAATGCGTACCTTGGGCGTCGCTTGCCCAGAGGACCTCTACAAGGGATTTTGGCAAAGCTTTGGGGGTAGCTTGCTGGCGATACATTCAGGACCTGGCATACAAGTTTCGCCCCTTGAAACTTGACTTCGAGTGCACGCAACACTCGAACACTAATAAGGTCAGGACAGGCCAAGAAACAGGCTTTGGGCAAGTCGGTATTCTGGCATTCCAGCTTAGAATTGGGTGTGATTGCGCAAGTGCACACATGCTTGAATCTCCTTTTGGAAACAAATGTTGCCCAACCATGGTGCGCATCTCTCAAGCACTTCACTTCAGGCATGAGGCGGTCTGGTGTGCGTCCATCCTTTGAGCTCGCACTTGTACTCGTTTCCTGAGGGGCAATATGTGGGATGGGAACGTTGGTGTCCTTTGGGAAAATAGCTGGCACTGGTAGCTGGTTTGAACCTGTGCCATCTGTGTTCGTCAAACTGACACAAAAGAAACGCCAAAGCACTGAGCAAACCATTCTAGGGGCTGTTTTATTGCTCAGCCAAGGCCTAACCCCATTCAGCAGGTACATACCCACAACTGCCTGAACCCGCCCAGGCCTATGGTGTAGGTGAACTTCTTCGACTCATCTAGCGTGGACACCCCGCGGTCGTTGAAGTTTTGCTCGTCCAGCCTGAGCTCGATTCTCCATTTCTGTGTTTGTCTCTGTGTGTGTGTTCTTTCGTAGGTGTGTGCATGCATCTCCATGCAGATGTGCTCCTGCGCACTGTGTGTTCATGTGTGCGGGTGGAGAGGGGGCGCAAGTGCAGGTGCAAGTGCAAGTGCAAGTGCATATGCGTTTATCTAAGTGCGCACGTCTCGGCGCCTGCACGTGTCTGCGCTTCTGCGGTCATGTGTGCGCCTGTGTATGCGAAGATGAGTTCGTGCGCACGTGCATGTGAAGTCAAACTCACCTGTGACCTGTGCGCGTGCACGCGCTCTTTGTCGCTCACTCTCTCTCTCTTTGTCTTTATTGTTTGCTTCCCGTTGCGGGCGCTTGCACCCAGAATGTGTCCTGTGGTACGGTTGTTTTGTCATTGACATCCTTTCAGAGCCACATGTCCGCCACCTGTCCTTGTTGCGCTACTTCAATTTGCCTCATTGTACATCCACTTGTCCCCTGGCTCCCCACCCACCGTCAACCGCAGCTACAGGCTTTCAAACCTGGCATGAAACGGGCCTACCCCCAAACATGCAACATAAGGAATCAAAAGGGTGGATATCCGGACCCAGCTTGTGATTCTTTCAGCAGTCCTTTCTATAGCCCTACCAGGTAGTAGAACAATGCACTGAGTTTCCCAGTGGGGGGGTGACCACGAAAACGGCTGGCCGAAGTCGAAGGCGAAGCAACCGAGGCACCCTGTGAGGGGTTCCGGCGGCCGCTTTGGCGCCTGCCATGCCGCGGACCATCCACACGGCGCGCTGTTTAAAGGGAGGCCCACCGACATTTTTCCCCAACAGCTGAAAGCTTTGGGGTCTCAGCCCAAATAGGCTCCGGGGTGGTCAGGGGCAGCCCTGAGGTAAGGTTCCACGAGCGTTCCCCGAGGGTTCCACCAGGGTTCCACGAGGTTCTGCGAGGGCTGCGGGGTGGTGCGAGCATTAAAAAGAGCACCGCATGCTGTTGGGGAAATCACCTGAGCTTATTTTTTTTTGGGGGGAGAAGGATCCATATCCCATTTGGACACAAACCCGTACACACGTGTGCTTTGACTGACCTGCATTTTCGGGCAATTGTGCCAAGTCTGGTGGCATTTTGAGGACAGTTTACCGCATTCCTGGCTCGCCCTTCAAGCCTTCTCGACACAGCCACAGCCAAAGGCGCGCGCCTTCTGCGCTGGCTTCGGCTGCGTAGGCTTTGCTTCAGCCTTTGCTTCCTGCTTTTCCTGGCTTGGGTGCACTCATGCACTTCACGTCAAACCAGCCAAATGATGAATTTGATATACAAGCCCTTACACCGAAACATCCATCTAGGCAACCCCTCTTCTTCACAAACCGCGAGTCCGCAACTCGTGAAAAGTGAGCTCTTTTTACCCGCAGGTGAACTTGTCTTAACTTGCCCAGATGCATGCACCACTATATGTATGGAAAAGGCGCAATCTGCATCTGAATCCATCATGTTTCATGCTAAGCACCTGCTGATCGCAGAAGGCTCACATATCTAACCACAAAAGCAGACCGAACGCAAAACCCGTGCTTCTCCCAAGGAAACGAACACATGCCAAAAACGCTCACAGCCAGGGCAAAGGCCAAAGGCGGGTGAAGGACCTAAGGATGAACCCGCAGCCAAAAGCTGCTGAGCAGCTGTTCCACTGTTCCACAAGCCTTTCGTGGCCCAAATCGACTTAGGCGGAACGGTTCCTGAACAGTTCATCATTGTAATCTGTTTCTTTTGTGTTGCGGCGCAAAAGAAACATTACCCGGTCATTACCCAATTTGGCATTGTTTTCTGGATGAATTCTTTTAGTCTTGGACCCCGCTGGGCAATTTTCCCAGCGTGTAACCTCGGGGTGTACGAGACAAATCCTGAGAAATCAGACATTGGGTTGACAAATCCCAGCATTGTATGGCCATTCCTTCCTCACGCCACGCGCCTGCGGCGCCGGCGCTTGCGATGCCAGCTGCGTGTCTGCCACTTCCGGAGCGGCCTCCTGAAGACGCGGCTAGATGAACCTCTTCAACTTGCTGGTTCTCAGGGAAGAGAATGAGCCCAAACTGAATCATCCCCTGTAGATTCCTTTATGTTCCTTCGAGCGAACCCCTCGGCTCATCCAAAAAAACATCTCTTGACGCTTTTCAGGTACTTCTTTGCGAGTCATCGCTTATGGCTTCAATCCCATCAAGATTGTCTCTTGCTTGGCATTGGACTCCGTCGCACCGTTGCCTTTGAAGAAAACACAAAAAAGGAGAAAGGGGGCATCACTGAAGTCTTGCGAACAACAACTGTTGGCGCACTGAGGTCATTCATGGCCATTCTGAGACTCCGTGGCGCCTGAGAACCTGAAGGCGTAGCCGTTGAATGCTCAGAAGCAGCCTGGCAAAGGGCGTGAATTCCGCAACTCGTCGAAGCTCTGGCCTCGTCAAATACTCCGTTGAATCGGAATCGACTAGTCCAGCAGAAACCAAATCCAGCCAGTTCCCAGTCAACCTGGTAGATCAAGGGAACCGATGGTTTTTTGCTCCTTTTTGATTGAACACCACCTAGCAACATGCGGCTTGAGGGCGCCATTTGAACTCTAGGGCAGCGTTCAGCGAATTCATTGGCTCGCTGCGCGCCAGCTGCCAAAGCGCCGGCCTGTTCCTCCACTTCTGGTGCTACCTTGCTAGGAGCCGCTGGGACCTGAGCTGACGGCACAGCTGGGTCAGCGCATGTCTTGAGAGAGGGACCCCAGAAAACTG